AATGGTAAATTTTAGCCTAACATGTTCTTAAAATCTATGTTCTTATACGCGGGTTTTTACTGTATGTTACGTGCACAGTGATTGGTCATGACCTGCTCGTACGGCGGGGGTGTCCGGTGCTACAAAACCATTGTTTTTTAATTCGAGATGGGATTAATTGGTTAAATTGCTCATTTCGCTTGGGGAAAGTTTATGGAGCGTGGGTTAGACGGGCCCACTGGTCAGTAATAATTCAGTAATCAAACTGTCTGGGGCATTGGGGGGCATTACCCTTCGCCGTAGGGAGCTGATCCGACGGTATCTATATCACGTATCGTGTAGGTACCTAAAATATCATCTAAAAACACTGCGATTAATTAATATGCTACTAGATTACATTGTACGGTTCAGTTTTTCGGGGGTAGTCTAAGGACGGGATATAAGTCTTCCCGCTCCCCAGGCTCTACGGTTTAGTAGGTGCGCTAGTGGCACCCGTTTCTTAGTGGGGGTAGTAACAGGTTGCGTTGACAGAGTCCACGATAGATAACACAGATAAGATAACACGAACACGGTATTTGCAAGCTACTCTTCAATTCGGTATTTGTAATATTCTCTTTACCACGGCTCCTTGTTCCTGCGCGTTTGGGGTCAACAAGTTGTCTAATGGCCCCAGTATCTCACACGCGCGACTTATATTGGTGTTATATTGGTGGCCTACGCCGTGCGGCCAAGCTGAAGCAGACTCACGGGAAATTATCAATGTGCGCGCTAAGTGTGGAGAAGCCGGCGCTTTCTTACACTTGCCGCTTTCCTACACTTGCCGCTTTCCTACACTAGTTGTTTTGAAGGTGGAGTAGGAAAAGGACCCCTGCGAAATTGAGGTTACGCGTAACAAAAAAATCATGTAATGGCGTACCACTACTGGTGTAGTCCCTTCGTTATCGCAGGGAGTCTATAATAAGCTCTATTATAGACTCCCTGGTTATCGCTACAGATGCTCCCAGTAGCGGGAGCGAAGGGGCTCCACCGGTAGAGCTACTGCTGCGGCTACCGTTGCGGTTGGTAATAATAGGGGTAGCTAGTAAAGGTGTAGCCCGATGCAACCCCGCATAGTCAGAGCTTCTGCTCGGTTACTATTGCAGACACAGAGGCCCACTATACGCAGGTTGAGCCCATCGTAGATCTGAGGCTAAACATTTGTAGGTTCGTGCAGTCCGTCCGTGGCCGTTCCTTAGCGCTTGCAGCGGCAATATTATATGCTTAGCGTGATAATGACAGGAGTATATATACGGTTAATGACTCAAGAAGTTTTTTATTATAAACCAGGAACCAATTTCGACGGTTTCCTCAGGTGCTGCCTGATAATTAAAAACCAGTTAGGTAACAGATTACGTGATTCATAGTCGAGGGGAAATATCTCAGGTTGGCAACGCTATATACACACATGAGTCATGCGCAACCCAGGTCGTGGTCTGTTGTTAAAATGGCTAGGCTGGTGGTGTGGCTATAGTACATTACCTGCGCTCCGAGTTGTATTCATGTAAGTTCAGCCAGCTTTTGGGCTAGGCCTCATCGTTTGTCGTGGAAAACACATTCATAAGGATAGGCAGTATCAATACAGATAAGATGCTTCGTACACATTCAAACAAATTAAAGGGACAGTAGTCTCTAGGATTTTACTGCATACAACTGTACTTACTGTATAACAAATCGTCTATACCCACACGTATTTGTTACCAGATACCTAATTTAATTGTTATAATTAATTAAACACCATCAACGTAACGAAATTTGAAACGGCGCCATGTACACCCGCGACCGTGCTGAGCCACCCGCCGCCGAAAAAGTTGCGTATTTGAACAATTTAATTTTGCAACGTTACCCACTTTGGATGGCGCCGAGGTGCACTGTTGTAAATATAGCACAGCATGCGAGAAGTTGCAAGTATTATATTTATAGTGCTAAATCTAATCTTTAACCAAAGGATATCTGCCATTTGCTTAGGGCTTAATATTTTTTATCGATAATTTATAATAATAATACTGAACATCGCGAGTGATTTGCGGTAATGTTCGGCGCCCTTTTGGAAACTACATGTCGTTTATAAAGAGATTACAATCCTTGTTGCTTTTAAAATGAATAAATAAGAAACCCCTCGGTCTGTAGGCCCTTGCTGGAAGTGGTTTTGGGCAGCAACTCTAATCAGATCGTGCGGCATGCGAGTGGCGCCACCGTCGTTGTAATCAAACTGTAGTTGTTAGTTTTAAAACATTTGTTTAGATAAAGTATTTCTAATGGTGATTGAACCATGAAACTTTTTATGTAGCGTAATTTTAACCTAAATTAACTGAAAATAACCCTAGAACCTAGAGTAAACGATCCCTTTAACTATATTATATCTTCATAAAATTTCCGTCGCTAATTTGTTTTCTTACTTTTACACTACGTTGTTTACATTTTTAACACAGAGAAGCATGTGTTTGTATATATAGTTAATAGCTAAGCGATCAATTAAATTAGGAAAGTACAAACGCAAGTAACCACATTTTACACAAAACGTTTGTGTAACACAAACACAAACTACTATTCAGTAGCACAATATATCTATCGCTAGCTTATCAACAATTGTTTATGTCATGTTTTCTTATTATTTGAAAATAATTAAATGATGCACAGTATAGCAGATTGGCATATTTTAAAAGTAGTGAATTAATTTGAATATAATATTATAGCAACATTAATGATAACGTCTTATAAAAATTACACATAAATTAACATTCATAGGAGACCCGCCCGGGATGTCATTGCCAGTAGTTTGTGCAAACTTTCAGAGTAGAGTACTTATAGCACTAAATATTTTATGCTTAAAGTGATTACGTCACCGTCAATAGTAAAACAAAAAAAAACATTTCCACTTTTTCACAAAATGTAAGTAATTCTGTTCAATTTCTATGGTTAAATTGCTGCATTATACTTCCTATTTTACTATATTGTTTGATGTAAACATACACTCGTGACTCATACATAGCCCATAGCAAGCAATTAATGTTAGGAGCATAATATCAAATCGTCCAGGTTTTTTTGATTTTTAACTAGTTGAGAAACAATCTTATCAGGTAAGAATTTGACGATACATTTAGTCCGTTAGTACTTACTTTTAATGTAAAAAAATGGCAACAAAATTTTTACAAAATACACCATAGAAAATTCGCGACGTAGTCAATTTAACGGCATATTAAGTCATTGGGTGTGTAGACCTGTCACCTCACTCAATCTCTCGCCGTTTGACACCTAATTTTATCACTTCACGTTTATTTGAAAAAAGACCCGGTAATTGTTATCAAGAGCTCATAATAGAGAAGAGAGAAGAGTATGACACCGTTTTAACAGCGTTTTGCATAGTTTTGAACTTGTAAATATTCTATCAATAAGTAAATAAATATATTCAAACTTTACCTTGTTTTCGTCTATGATTCTCCCTTAATCATATGACACCACCAATTTACCTGAAAATCGTATGTGTTCTTCAAAAAAGTTCTTTGAATACGACACGGTTTCACACAGTTTTCCCAAATGTTCGCATCTATTCGGCGCAAGTGTATTATCGGATTAGTGTTCTATTGTCTATGACGGAACACTAGGGGCTGTTGGGGATATTAGGCATCGAATTGTATTCAGCGTGTAGCGTTTCCAGCGGGCTAGAAATAAATGTGTGCTCACGGCGAGCTAGCAGCTGATTTTAGCTGTGTTGCCATCGTGTTCCTGATGACAAGGAAGCGAAACAAGTGCTGTTACTGTGCTTACCTAATATCCCCAACAGCCCCCAGCGTTCCGTAGTTACAACCTGGTGCTGCC